GGGGGGGGGGGGGGGGGGGGGTTGAATCGAGCAATCAATTATTAGACCCGGACTCGCCGACACTTGCTTCGCAGGACAAACTCAAGGTATCCCCTAAAGGGCTACCTTTCGTGAACAGTCAAGGAAACTCCCATTCATCCCCATGAAAAATCATCCTACTCACATTCAGAACCCACAGTGTGATCCACTGGCATGGCAAAACGTCATCTGGCTCAAGTCTCGTGTAGTGATGAATCTGGGCGCGAAGCCGCTCACACAATAAGCATCGTAACCTCAATCGAACGGGAACCGGTGGTTCTATGCAGCATTTCGATGCATTTCGGTCTTCCTGTAACCTACAAGCAGCATCCGGACATCCTTCGTTTTGGGGGAAAAGTACAGTACCCTACCGCTGGATCTTGCTGGGTAATGCGTTCCAGGATTTGACCAGCTGTACGTCCCACTCCAGTGATGATCACCCATGATCCAACTCCATGAGGCAACATCGGTCTCTGCCAAAAGGAGCGAAGCCATCAACCACTGTTGTGCTTCATGGCCCTTGCGAGTACAAAAGTTGCACAGCCAACCCGCGGTGAGACCAATCCATGAAAGGTTGTTGAAAGAGTGTTATGTGTTTCAACCATCCAAAAACAGAAAAACACAATAAATTAAACCTGCCCCCACAACAAATTAAAAGGCGGGAGAAAAACACATTGCCTTCCAAAACGAACGCACACCAAACGGCACCCGGACATAGCCAAGCGACCAACTCCGATGAGTAAAGAGGCCAAAGCAATGGAGAGGTCGAAGCAATCTCCTGCCTGGGGAAGATCATTTGGAGCAATCAAATGTGTTGGTTGAGTCCTTGGAGTGTCGTCCTCCCCACAAGGCTCTGAGCTGTGGCTTTGCCATAGAACGCAACGATCAACTTTCAGAACTTCCCCATCTTCCCTGTGATACAGCTCCCCGTGGCCATTGTTCAATCAGGTCAAATCATGTCAAATCTTCCTTCGACCAAATCCATGGTGGGATCTGCCAATCAGTATTGAAGCAAGTGCTGGGCCTGCCAGGTGAGCACTGAAGCAGGTGCAGGGATCACACTGGGATATCGATCAGGAGGAGCAAGCTCATCCTGAAAGCACGGAGGGGAGCGAGTACTGGCTGCGGAATCTTGTGTGGAAGTGTCCTTCGACTTCTATTCTACCTATCAGTATGCTCACTGACTGCAGGCTATGTAAGCGTTTGAATGCACTCATTAAGTCCTGGAAAGAAACAACAAACATATCCAAGACCACCCAAATCTATCCAAATCACCCCCCCACAAAACATCGCAGCACAAATGGCTATATACTCCCAAATCACCATGGGCAACCAACCCCCTCTCACAAGCCTCTCTCATTGAATCATCGTCTTTCTGAGCGCCGCATCTGGTGGCGCATTTGGTTCCAAAACCAGCTGATCTGAAGCAATATACACATTCCTGGCCTTGAGCCATGCCATGCTACACAATATATCATTAATATATATATATATAAATGGAACTCAAGAACTATCAGCTTTCCAGACTGCGGAGGTCAACGAGTCGGGTGACGTAGTTGAAGAAGTCCGCCAAGAATTTGGCACAGGACTTGTACTCGTAGAGCTCTTGGTAGGGTAGGTGCCTTGGTCGGTGCTGAGAGTACTTGGATTTGGTGCACGAATTCTGGATGCGCAATCAGGAAACAGGATGACCTTTTGGACTACGAGGGCATCAGCAAGAGCAAGTGCAGCCGATGACTGATCACTTGTTGCCTACAGTTGATTGCATGCATGGTGCCTGCGGCCTGAGGAGGACGTCTACAGCAGTCGTTCAATAAAGAAACGACTCGACTCGACATGAATTCAAACGCTCTGCAATGCAAGGCTCCTGGGTGATTTATAGCATCTGAGTGTGAAGACTTCCGGTCGAATCAGTGCACCAAGGCTGAAACCAAACCATCGACTGGAAGGCGAGTGGGTTTTGCAACCGGATCCCAAGTTCGGCACCAGCGCCATGTGCAGCCCAGGCACGTGGGTCGGATAGTGGAAGGAAGGAACTTGGGAATTCCATACCTCCGTGCAGCGAACCGTGCGAGACAACAGCGCTTGAGGTGCATAGTTACTAAGCAGCTTATTGTAGAAAGAGATTTCCCAAAAAGGAATCTCCTCGAAAGGGACCAAAGCACTTCCGGAAAAATAGAGTATATTTGAGTATACATGGGTATACTAAGATAGTAGATATTTTTTGAGACGAAGGGTCACACCGGCTCTGAAGAGATCACACCGGCTCTGAAGAGAGGACAGGTGCTCTGTCCTTCGTGACGCTTGCCTCCAACCCGGCGCCCCGCCCGTGACCCATCTAGTTCGTTCTGCGTGTTTTTGAGGTATTGATTCATTGATGACCATACCGGCACTCTGAAAAATCCATGCAATCGATTTCGAAATGGATTCCTTTTCACGGTTCCTTCTTTGCTGTCACAATCCAGAGGGATCTAATTGGATCCATGTCACACAACCCTTTGGTCATGTCTTCGCCCAGCCGAGGGCCCGGAATCCTGAAACCGCTCGAAAAATGGACGCCCATTGCCAAGGGGCTCATTGGGCGGACAAAGGAACAAGAAGCGATTTCCATAGACATTCACAAACTGATCCTCAAATTCGCGCACCTGCCAGGGAGCTCGGCCCTGCATCGCACTGCCGGTGGGTGTTGAAGGTCCGCACAGTGGGATACACTGGTTTGGCCAGCGGGGTGCTTAATGAAGGCTAGCAAAAACATGTACAGTAAATAAGGAGCAGTATAGTCAACAAGATCCTTAAGTGTAAAACATGTGTAATCATCGTGTGCAATCAATATGATATAGAGGCAAACAAAAACCGGGACAAAGACCTGTGGTGTCTTAAGCAATTGCAGGGTGTACCCTTCTTTGATGTGCATCCCGGAGCCGCCAATATACTTTGAAATGGTGAAATAACTCAATGCACCAGCATAGACCATTCAACATATCAATTCCACCACTCGATATTGACCAAAACATGTGCTAGAACATGTCCAAAAAGCATGTTCAAAGACCGATATACGTATATAATCGTATATACATATTTTGGTCGATCTATACATCTATTTCTGGAGATCCACCTCTGACGAACAAGGCCTACTCACCCTACCGGGAGACAGGAGTAGGCTGGCCTACCGGGAGACTTCTCCATCCCCCGTTCCAAGCAAAGAGTTAAACATCAGTAAGAGCCTGGGCCTGGATCTACAAGTAGCAAGGGCCTGGAACATTTGGCTTTTAGCTTTATCTGAAAAAATGAGTGTTTTGCGATGTTTTGGTGTCTCCTGAGTGTTTGGAGTGATCACGAAGAGTCAAAGTTCGTAGGCCGTAGGCCATCATCCTCTAGGGGCAAAAGAAATACAAACACAAATCACTGAAGGATATTCACACACATATATATATATATTGTATATGTATGCCATGATATGCCCTTCATGACTAATTCGTGAATATGTGTTTCCTTATGAAACGTCCAAAGAACTTCTGAACGAGCCCAAGAGCAACCGGACCAGGGTGGAGTTGAAGCCGGGTCCGGACTTGTTTTTTTAGGACGGAAGCCGACGGACTCCAAATCGGGCAGCTTGGGCTTTTGTGACATGGATGCCCCCAACTTGAAGCCAAAGTGGCGTGTTCTAGTAGCAGCTCCTCCTTTGGAGTGTTTCCCACCTTAGGTCACAGCCACTCCAGTCAACCATATTCCAAACGCACCGATCTGAACATCTCCGTCTACAACTTCAAGAGAGTCAAAAGCGTGACAACTTCAAGAGCCCAGAGCCGAACCAGCTAGTTACTTGTATGAAGCTAGCTCTATCAGCTAGTATCTTGATAGTCTTAGTATCGTTCTGGCATGTTCTGATCACATTTTAAGCCAACCCCACAAACCCCCGCAATTCTCAAACAACTATGGATGGACGACTTTGACTCGTCACATAACTCGTCTCAGCTCATATGAACTCACCTTCACTTGCACTCGCGGAAATCGAGGGCTTCTTTCTATCCAAGAAGCGTATCGTGCACTCGGATTCTGGTTTTCTGCCACTAGTCGGCTGCATCGGATCTCTTTCTGCGTCGGCTGCTCCCTTGAGGTCTGAGTAGTATTGTCCTGTCGCACTTCCACATCCAACTGGAAAACCGGTGGCCGGTCTTGAATCAAGGGAACCCTTTCCCGGTGCCAACGTGCCCACCAGTACCGGGGTCAAGGCTGTCACCGGCACGTCTCGTCTGTGCCTGTCTTGATATGTACCAACAAATGCTTGATAAGTTCCCGAAGAACAAAACACAAGAACATGGTGAACAAACTTCAAAGCAACCCACAATGATTCAATGATTGCATATGATTGGCAAAGTCGCCGACATGCTGCTGGAACCAGTGAACCATAGTGAACCAAGTTCGATTGACACTCATAAGCTGAGCATCTCCGGTGAAAGGCTGACGGAAACGGTCACATCTTCATTTAATGCCACCATGCGCAAACATTATTGAAAATTGCTCTACAAAAACATGGTCTAGGTTGTGACCAGTAGTGCGCATACTCCCCTGCAGATCAACATGGAACCCAAAACCACTCACTGGGTTGTAAAGCTAAGTTGTCTTCCACCGGTCAATTCTCAGGTTCCATTTAGTTTGCCGGGGGGGGGGGAAGCAAGAACCACTCATGACTCTGTTCCCAACAACCACAGGAAAACCACAGCGAAACGGCAGGAAAACCAGAGGGATAGCACCAAAGGAAAGCCAAACGGAAGCCAAGGAAAAACAAAAGGAAACTGAAGGGAAACCAAAAGGAAACCGAAGGGAAACCAAAGGGAAGCTGAAGGGAAACCAAAGGGAGAGTGAAAGGAAATCAAAGGGAAGCTGAAGGGAAACCAAGGGGATACCTCTGAAGGGAATTCAAAGGCAAACCGAACGGAAACCAAAAGGAAGCTGAAGGGAATGCAAAGGGACACCACCCAAGGGAAACCAAAGCGAAGGTGAAGGGAGACCAAAGAGAGTCAAATGATCAGCGCGAGTGCTTCTTCAAGGAAGCTCCCCCTCGCCCTCAGGTGGGGAAAGCTTCCTTGAAGAAGCGTGAGCTATCCGGCGTCCTACCGCTTTTCCAGCAGCCTACCCAGCTGAACACCTCCCTTCCCCCGTGGCTTAACAAAAAAACAAAAAGAAGCTGAAGGGAAATCACGGGAAACACTCCCAAAGGAACGGAAAAAAAAAAACCTCCCCAAAGGGAAGCAATGAAGCAACACTAGTAACAAAAAACTACTAGGAGCTCCTGGCGGTACTAGTAGGAGCATGCTTACTAGTAACAAGAAGCTACGAACGGGGCTCCTGGCATCGCTACGAACGGAGCGATCGGACGCTACGAGGGCCGGGGCTCCTGGCCGTACTGCTAGGAGCGATCGGACGCGACTCGAACGGAGCAATGAAGCAACACGACCACACGACCCCCACATCGACCCAGGAGGGTCCTCAGGAGGGGCCGCCGCTGGTAGGGTCACATCCATGGGGCGCGGAGCGCGGTGAGATCCGCGGTCCGCACGGCGCTGGGACCGCTGGTCCGCTTGAGCCGGTGCCGCTGGGAGGGCACGGACCCACTTCATGCAGTTAAGGGCAATGACTCTGTAGTCTAGAGTCTATATATGTCACGATATGTTCTATTTACATGAGTCAAAAAAAGGATCAAACAGGAAATTACGTAGATTGAAAGCTGTTGACCGAATTGTTGGACTTCGACAATTCATTGTAATATTGGTGGTTGACAACGATGGTCTGGGAAAAATGAACTTTTCATCTAAGAAAGAACACAAAAGAGCAAGGCAGCGACCTCGACCTATCAGAGTAGCGTTGGGGCCCCCAAAAAACATCCGCATAGTCATCCTGATATATCCTGATTCACATGCATAGTGTGCTGAACGCATGGAATCACAATCCTTATGGCAATGTCCAATGATCATGTCTCGCTCCTGCTCAACTGTCTAAGAAAACAACTGCAAGGCAGTCTTGAAATTTGTTGCACCTGCTGTCAGCGCATGGTGCCGTTTTCAGGTGTCCAATGGAGATCTGAGTGCAAATTTGAGATGCAAAGTGGGGGACAGGGCTAACTGCTGCAAATGTATCCCCCTGTGAGTTAGCCAGGATAGGTTGTGCTAAGCATTCTGCAGCTATAACAGACACAAAGAGTTGACCTCCAAATGCCTACAGAATCACAGGGGGTATAGTGGGATCTTGGGGACCCCAGAAAACAAACTGGAGCGACTGGGGCGACTGGAAACCTGATGCATTTTCAATACCAGCACTTTTGCTACACATCTATTACATTCTATTACAGCCAAACACCTATTACAGCTGGTGCATCCTGCCAAAAAACACCTGCAGTTCTGGGCCGACAAGGAAATTCCGGGGCAAACGAGCCAGCAAAACGTGACGTCCATTGAACGAGACGTGCTCCAGACCACAACTTATAACACAAACACTGAGAAACACATCGTTTTAAATGTATTTAAAGTGATGTGTTGCCCAGAATTCTGCTTGCCAGCATGCGGGACGCATCTTCTTCGTCAAATTGGATCCCGTCACAGCACATTACCCACCAGAAAGAAGTACGATGAGGATCTATGAGGCTCCTGTGTGTAACAACTTTGGGTTCGGAAGCTCTCTCACTCAAAAATGACAATTCCGATCCCCATGGGTTCGGAGATCTCTCAGTCTTTTCGCTACTCAAGAGTTCGCAAGACGAGGTTGAAGGAAACCAGGCTCTGTGGTCTGGTAGATTGCTTCAAAGGTGGTGGTCTTCGCATGGTGCGGTCCTCAGGTCACAAGAAGAGGCGGGGGCCAACGGACAACGGACCGTCCGTCGCCGTGTCGTCTTGCTTGACCAGTTATGTCTTGTCTTTCTGCACCAAATGGCTTTGATGGCCCAAGCAGTTTTGAGTTGTGGAGTAGTAGAATTACAGTACATTATTATTTACTAATGTAGTAGAATTACTGTAATTAACGTTATTAATACAGTACATTATTACTTGTGAATTGTGAATCGCAACGTTAGATCTGCCCCACCCTGCCCCACCGTAAAAAAAAGGAGTCTGGATGCCCTCCCCTTTCCCGGAAACAACCCAAAACAATGTGATACCATGGGATAAAATGAGATGAAACGCAAAGTTCGACTTAAAGAAAAACACAGGCTTCCTGGCACTTTCGCTCTGTAGCATTCAATCGAGCAGCTTCGAGCAAAAAGCCTGGCACCGTCTCGAATGCCTGGTCACTCAACTTTCAGACGGGGGTAGTGTCAATGACACTTGCTTCGGGGGAGCCTACAAGAAAAACATCAAACAAATGGTTGGATGGTTCAACATACCCTCTGACATCCTCTGACATAGCAAGCCTAATACCTCAACAAAGCACTTGCACACCCACTGTAGTGATGTATGGTGTTCAGTCACCTCAGCAAGCTCGGCCACATCCCTTTCTTACGAGCAACCAATGTTTAAGCTCTGTGGCAAGACAAGAGCATGATGTAAATCAAGCAAACATCAGAAATGAATGCTCAGGCTTGAGAACATCATGAGAACATCTCCAGCTAGGCAGGTCCAAGCACTCTTTCTTCCAGGGTACCGAGGGCTGCAAGTGACTGGCTTTCATCTAGCAGTGTCAAAGTATCGCCTGACGGCGGAAGAAAGCGGCTGAACTTCAGATAAACTCGGGCAAACCAGCGGGAAAACCCATTGCCCAATTCGTTGCTTTGCGCAAAGGGCATCGAACAATCCGCCGTTCCATGGGGCATGTGGCAGGTGCGAAATGACCGCATTGGGCCAACACGAAAGTGCCATGGCCTTCAGTATTTCCAACAGGTGTCCCCGCGTGACCCCTGGCCCAAAACGGCAAGCTGATGGCAGCGCCCTGCAGTACTTTTCATCTGACTGAGGTAAAACAGTCTTGTACTTCTCATTCTCATCAAATACAACAGCTATTTTAAAACATAATATTCAAATCCGTACTATATATGATTAACATATGACTAACGGGGCAGTCAGTATCCAAAACATCTCATACTGTATGACATGGTGCTCTCATTTGAAGGTCAGCCAAATTCTACCAATGATGGTTTCCATTGCCACAGCTCTGGTTCTAGTGACTACCATGTGGTAGAATCATCGTTTCCATTGAACTATTATGGAAATACAATGTGACAAAGCGGCGTGCCCTTGAAATTACCTAAACCTGTTTTATCCCATGCTTTGCCAAGCCAACAGACCGCCTTCTGCGTGACATAAGCAGAACGGGGGCCCGCTGCCTGTGACCTGTCAACTGGGAGAGGACAAAGAATGGTAGAAAGGGTGACGGCAGGGCCTCCAAAGCCTGATCGCCTTCGCTTCAGCGCTTTGTCCTTCTTGTGGGCGAAACATGGCGAAACAGTGAATCCATTTTCACCTGAAATGAGGATGACTTACGGTCAACTTACGGTCTTCATGTAATCTGGGCAACACCTTTCAGATATCTCCCAGATCGTCTCCCCGCTGAAAAACCAGGCTCATGAACCGCTGCCTTGAGGCCTCCTACCCCTTGAGGCCTGACCACACAGCTGGTTGCTTCGGCCCTTGGCCGTCCCGGCGAAAGAACTTGGTCCTGTGCCTCTCATGAAATCAAGGAGCTTCCCACGCGTGGTGGTGCAAGTGGTGTGTTGAAATATGCTGGCCGAACTCATGACAATGCCTACCCCCAGCTCCCATAGCCATAGCCCAACTTGATCCTATGCAATGAGGCTCCGGACGTCCCCCGTGGCCCTCTGCACTCGCACGTTCAGGCTGGCCGCTGTGTCAGTTGAGCTGGCAGCGATCCTCGCATTTCCGTTCACGTGCAGAATCTGCAGCTGCTGTGAGCACATGAAGGCCTTTTCAGGACTTTCAGGCTTCTTATTTGGGGGAAGGCTACTTGCAGCGCATAGGGTGTAAGCCCCGCCATGAGCAAATTGTCGTCAATTCATCCAAAGACAGTGCTAGCCCGCGGGGGTACAACTACAGCACATGAAGTAGGCCAAAAGTCTAGTTCCAGTACTTGGTTAATGGTTTGCAGAACCCAAGGACTGTCAACCACTTGGAGTTTAGTTTTTGGTGAAGTTTATAGTTTGAGATGGTTTGAGGGTGTCTCTGCGCCAAGGTCGGGTTGGCGCTGTTATTCAGAACCACGGGCTGTTTCGGGGTGCCGGGCGCCCTTTTCTTCCGTGCTGACACGACCAGTCGAGACATCCAGTGAATCCCGTGGATCCCGGCATCACGTCGCTCTGAATTCGATTGATGACCCACGCAGGTTCAGGAATCTATTCAAAACCGGAGATAGAAGAAACATATATATATATATAGCGGCATGTATGTATGTGTAAATATATATATATATATTGAAACGGTTTGAACTGGGTCAGGAACTGTAAGGATTGCAAGGGGAAAACATGGGGAAACGATTCACCAAGCTAAACCTCCACGAAACCATACGAAACCAAAGGAATTCCATGCAGAAAGGCCCTTTTCAGGCTTAGCTGGGCCTGTCGCACTTTCACCCGCTGAACCGGATGGCATTGAGAACTGCCACTGCCACTCAAGATCATACATATAGGCCTCCAGGCCTTCCAGGCTCTGTTTGCAGTTCAGAGGCGTCAATGTCCTCCCCTTCAGTGTGTAAATCTGGAGCTGCAAGGCCATCGCAGCAAGCACGTGGAACGGGCGGAAGAACGCGCGGAACAAGCCAATCCACTGGGACACTTTGGCTCATCCGATTACGCACACAAGTTGAGCCACTGAGCAACGGCGAACGCGAACGCGAACGCGGTCGCCCTCAGAGTTGGTTATATCGAATGTTGTTTATGTCATCTAAGAGAAGCTCAAACCCAACATTGACATTGGGAGAAAATTGGTCCATCTATATGAGCCCAATCCTATGTTTGGACATATAATAGCTCCACCCAACATGTGTTCCATGTTCGAGGAAATCCCCATCTGGGTGAAGCTGGACAAGACCGGGAGCCCTGTCTCACACCCTGCCGAATACAATCTAGTTGAATAGTTTATAACTTAGTTGAACATTGGGGTGGTTTTGGGGGTCAATGTAGGCATATATATGGCATACATGGAGTGTCTGGGAATAATGCAATTTAGGTGGACCGCCGCACCCTCGCAACAGGCCTCTTTTTCACGTGCATGAACATGCGTCTTCTCAGATCAAAGCAGGACGAACATGCTTTTGTGCCGTGTGCTGTTTTGGAGGACTCTTGCCTATTTTTGTTCACCCCAAAGATCTCCAAACCAACTTGTGAACCTAGGGGTGTAGTGTAGTGTGTCCACACTTTGTATGTGTCTATTTTTCAGCACTCAATTGATCTCCGCCTCGAACACCGATCTACCTCTCCTGTACAGCGAACCGCCGGTCTGCGATTCACAGCTCGTCTTTCTGCGCGTTTTCAACTCACAGCCGGGTCGTTGATTTGGCCTTCCTTCAATCGGCAAAGAAACCTTCAATGTTGGCTGACTGGAAAATTGGAACAAACGCCCAAAAAGCACCCGAAATAACAGCCGAACCCTTCTATTTGTTTGCGGTGCATCCTATGGCCGATCGTGCATGTATCGGTTCAGTGACCGGAGATGCTAGCCTTGTTCACATTTGTTCACTACGTGGAAGGTTTACGGCTTCCACGGATTTACACAGTGCATTTGCAAACTTCTCATAGCAAGTGACTTTACACACATGCCAGCTAGGTCATGCTTGCACTTCAAGCCATTCCCCAATTCACTAGAGGCTGCAGTTGGCTCTTTCGTCGCATGCACGTGAATTGTTCCAGGATCACTCGTTGCGGGCAGCCTGGTAGCAGCTCCGCGTGTGGAGGACGGAGTCGAGGAGTGCCCGGAGTGCCCGGTGTCTCTGGAAGCGACGAACCGTGGCCCCGGTGGCCCCTTCCCATCCCGCTGACATCAAAGGCACAATGTAAAAGAATGCTGACAAACAGAATATGATCGAGCAGGTGAAGGATGATGCATCGCAATGCTTCAGTGCCTTGCATACACCCGAGCAAGGAGCCGCAATGTATGTTTTCGCAAAGGCTCGACGATTGAATGCAACTGCCATCATGTTCCATCTTGGTGTGAGAGGGACGGTTTGCACACACTCTTCCAAGACTCACGGCAAAGCTTTGTTAGCGAAGGGACCCTTTTCTGAGTTGGCCCGGGGGTGTGCTGGCGTATCATGTATGATGTGTATTGTGTATTAATGTGTAGTTCTAGATTGTCCTTTGTATAGGTTATCTCCATGGGCATATCAGCACCTATAAAAATAGATTGTATATAGATTCATAGATGGTCAAACGGCGAAGCTACACAAATACAGGAGTTCCACGGAATTCAGTCTGTCTTATTGCTTGTACAGCCACCGAGCCAGTGCATTGTCTAGTGCAAAATGAACAACAAGCCGAGTAAAACCAATCGCAGCAACATGCTCCCCACCTACTTACTTTAATGAAGACCTTCTTTTTGGAGACTTTGGTGTGAAACATGCACAACACGAACCCCCAACGACCCTCGATACACCATGATACAACCGGAAACGTCTTCCAGATCAACGCTGCGAAATAGGTCTAGAGTCTAGCCCCATTAGGAACTTCATCTCTAAGCCTTCTGCTGAGCACCCGAACGCTGTTCCTTCTGACGAGGGTTCAGAAGAGCCTGTGGTCAATGCGAAGTACATCAGTCACGGATAATAGAAATACATGGCTGGTGCAATCTTCTGGGGCATTCACTCTGCTTCCTGCTTGGCGAAAAAGGACGTGGGTCGGTGAACTGACAGGCCTCGGGGTGAACTGACTTGACCAGTGAGTCTGGGATCTGGGCATGCTTTTTCGGTTTAGTATAGTAAAACATCGTAAAAACCAAAGCGGCCTGGCGGCCTGACATCTTTTGAAGAAAACCAATTACAGTGGTGTCAGAGTAGATGGCACAATCCTCAAGTAGTTTGGACCTCCATCTTGAAGAAATCTTGTAGTTTGTGCCATCGAACCTCTGAAATCACCCTATTCTGTCAACTGCAGGGTTCGGAAACGAGACAACGAGACACATCCCCATTGGGGTGATCGGACACATCCCTAGCCTCGCCCTTTCCATGGCAACTGCCACTAGCCTCGCAGCTTCACAGGCTCACAGGTTTCTGTGGATGTCCCACTTGGCCTCGACCGGAGCTGGCTCGGCCGAGCTTGGCGTGCAGCAGCTTGAACGGCTAAGTGCAGGATGGACAAATTATTTTCCGCTGGGTTCTACGCGACAGGAGTAAATCGACGTCCAAACATTACACATTTTGAGGAACTGTCACGGCATCTTGAAACTTTAGCAGAAACTTGCCAGTAGGTGCGCCGGACAAAAAAACAACTCGACCCTTGTCCAAAGCGAATCTCCATCGCACCCCTATTTGTGGCCCGCTTTGTCTTCCATCCGGAGGAGATTTTGGACAAGAAGAGTCGAGACTTGTATTAGGTATAAGGCATGTAGACCTTTAGATCTATATGCATGGAACCCCCACGAACTTGATGAAACACTCCCTCAAGTACGTGTACACGCTACGCTGCATGTAAGAGCAAATGAATTTGCATTATGCATCAGCCGGCCCATCCGAACAGGTCCATGCTCACGAAGTTCGACAAAAAACTCCAGTGAAGAATCTGGCCCAAGACTATCTTAAATTACGGGAGGTGACCACATGTGCTGCAAAACCGCTAAATTGGTGCATCGATATAACCTATTCTAATGATTCTAGAGAACCATGAACTTCTTTATTATAAGACATCTATGTAAGCGTTTTTGTGGGTTCCATAGTCTTGACATTTTCAGAGCTACCTCCGACCATGGGTTAGCATGCTGTCTTGACAGCTGTGTCATGACCATACCCAGCTGACATGACACCCCCAGAAAGCCCCGTGACCAGTGTCTAGACTAGTCTAGGGCGCTATCACAGCACCAGTGTCTAGGCTAGTC